AAAGAAAGAAAGAAAGAAAGAAGAAAGAAAATAGGATATTGCCAGGGTTTAGAAGCCCCAGCCTGTCTACTTCCTCTCACCGTCCCACAAGGTGACCCTCTATTCTGAATCCTAAAACCCATTTCAAGCTTTATTTATTTATTTATTGGGGATTGAACCCAGGGGTGCTTGATCTCTGAGATACATCCCCAGCCCTTTTTATTTCTTGTATTTTGAACTGAGGCTGGGATTCCAGGCACACGCCATTGTGCCTGGTCCATGGTAAACTTTCTAGAAGTGGAATCGCACATTATGTTCTCTTTTCAAGTCTGTCTTCTTTCCCAATGAGATTCGTTCATGTTGTGTTGTTCGTTCATATCTTTGTGATTGTGTAATGATGCACTGTGTGACCGGGACTTCCTTTGCTCATCCAACTCTCTTGTTTGTGGGCGTTTGTAAGTTTTCAAACCCACAATGAGGTCATGTCAATCACGTCTGAGTTGGTCTGTCCCACACCTGTCCCTGTTCACCTTCTGAAAGTTTTTCTGAGTTTTGCAAATGCCTGTGAAGAACTCTCCTCTCCTCACTCACAGCATGCACCAGGGAGGGAAAGAGTGGAGAGGCAGGGGAAATCCTGTCTGWGGGGTCTGAGGGGCCTGTGGCCTTCTGGAAGGGTGTTTGTCTCCATGAATCTGTGACATACCTGCCCACTCATTTGGCTTGGGTTTGGGGGAGTGTCGACAGAGATCCAGCCTTGGCAGTCCAGGACTGTCTTGGGGTTCTAGAGTTGCTTCTTAACATTCGGTCAGGTCTGGACCTTCATGCTGGGGGAAGGTGGCCATAGGGTCTTGGAAACTCTATGTGTGTATGTGTGTGTGTGTGTGTGTGTGTCCATGTGAACATCCACTGAGGGGGTAACTGAGGCCAGGTTCCAGGTGAGAATGATTGCATTATAAGAGGCTTCAGCTGGAAATGTTGTCACTTTCCCCCTAAGGAATGAGCTTCTCCTGCATCTGAAGACCTACAACCTGTACTACGAAGGCCAGAACTTGCAGCTGCGACACAGAGAGGTAAGGGCAAGCCCTGGCAGGCTCCCTGGTGGGCTGGCCCAGTATTTGCCTCCACTTGATCTGGGTCTGAGGGGCCTGAGGTCTCCAGGGGTCCCCGCCCTCCTGCCCAGTGAGTGGCCTCTCACTTACAATGTTGGCAAGAGTCCTTAGGGTTGTTTGGAAGGAGGCCCCAGGCCCAGTTTTGATCCAGAATGGTTCAGCTTTTCTGCTCTGGAGACATCCCTATGGGAGTGTGACAGGGTAGCACAGCCTCAGAGGGGGGTATCTCCAGAGGGAGGTTTTCATGAAGTGACCCTCTCAGATGGCTCCCAAGCAGGCATCCCCTTGTGGGGTGGTTCCCCAGAACCTTACCTGTCCTCTGTGTTTACACTTCAGGGCCCAAGTCCTATTGCAGATCACATAAGATCTGGGTGGTGACGCCCACTCTCCCCCTCCACCTGTGGCCATCTTCTCAGCCCTTCTCAGGATGCCCTTGGCTTTCCCTCTGACTGTTCCCAGCCCCCATCCRGAAGCTAAGCTTACCCATCCAGTATCTGTTTCTGTAAAGCCTGCTATCAGATAGATGTTGAGTTATCAGGGCGGCTGGTGGAGTAATTCATACTCGAGCGTTCTTGACTGATAAGAAGCAGTGTGTAATACCCTCAGGTTATCAAGCCATGGCGATCTAATCCATAGAAAGAGATAGCAGATGGTGGAATTTCAGCCACTCAGGCAGGCTGTTGAGGGTAGGATATGGGAAGCGTGGCCTTTTCCTATGTCCCTCAAGCCACTCCACTTAGGCAAAGTCCTATTGAGGGTTAAATTCTGTCTTGTAGTAGTTCAATGTCATGATACCAGCCCTGCCCAGTTGGAAGTCCTTATAAATCAACTGTACTTACGTAAAGCCTTCTCTCTCTCTCTCTCTCTCTCTTTTTTTGAACCAGGGATTGAATCCAGGGGTGCTGAACCACTGAGCTACATCCCCAACCCCTTTTATTTTTGATTTTGAGATGATCTCTCTAAGTTTCCTAGGGCCTCACTAAGTTCTTAAGTCTGGCATAAACTTGCGATCCTCCTCCCTCAGTCTCCCAGGTTGCTGGAATTACAGGCATGTGTCACCGTACCCAGCCATGAAGCCCTTTTCCCCAAGATCCCMAAATGCTCTGAAGTTGTTCCACTCCTTTCCGGTTTCCCCCCAGTCTCCACCATGACTTTTTGGCTTTGGTTAGTTGCTCACTGGGCAGGTGCCATTTTCACCCCAGGGGGTTTGTCCTGAAGATGTGGCCATAACCTAGGTCAGACACCCGTGAGACTTATCCAAAAAACATGGGTTCAGAAGGGTTTTTCTGAGACTAGAGGAAAAAAAAAACTGTCCCTTTTTGGCATTGTCAAAGCTGCTATTAATTAGTAGCTAGGCCACCGAGCAAGATTTTGATCTTTTATCAGCTTCCCTAGGATATATCCTACAGAATAAATCTTCAAAGACAGCTGGATGTCGTGGTACACATCTATAATCCTAGAGGCTTGGGAGGCTGAGGTGGGAGGATTGCAAGTTCAAGGCCAGCCTCAGCAACTTAATGAGAACTTAAGCAACTTAGTGAGACCTTGTATCAAATAAAGAATAAAAAGGGATGGGGATATAGCTCAGTGGTAAAATGCCCTTGAATTCAATCCTCAGTACAAAAAAAAAAAAGAATAAATTCTCAAAGTACTACATGATTAAAGTTTTTCATGGTCATAAATGATCTACTTTTTCAAGATGGAACATACTGATGTCCTTAGAAATTTCACATTTGCCAGGTGTGGTGGTRTATCCTCAGCTCTGAGGCTGAGGCAGGAGGATCATGAGTTCAAAGCCAGCCTCAGCAATTTAGCAAGGCCCTAAGTAACTTAACTTAGCRAAACACTGTCTCTAAATAAAATATTTTAAAAGGCTGGGGATGTARCTCAGGGGTTAAACACCCCTGAATTCCATCCCTGGTACCAAAAAACAAAAACAAAAACCAACAACAACAACAACAAAACACAAAGAAAGCAACCTTTTAGCATAACTTGGAATTCCTGCAGGATTTATTTACCTTTAGGAGAGTCGTAATATTAAGCACATTAGTTTATTACAAAGTGCCAAGAAGTCCTGTTAAGAAATTTGCTTAACACAGCCTCTCCTAACTCATGATCCCTTGACATCCTTTTAAGGCAACAGTTCATCTGCTAAAGGAGCTGGTGTTCTGTAGAAAAAACTTGGGGAAATTCTGCTTTAAATATCCTTCATCCAGAGGGTTGGATTGCTAGACATATGTTGTAACTAAGGACATGTCACTTTCTATAGTAGGGGAGGAATAAGTAGCTAATTCAAGAACCTGGTTCTTGCTTCTATTAGTAAGGCTAGGTCTCATTTTATTATACTTTTTTGGAACCAGGGATTGAATTTAGGGGTGCCCAATCATTGAGCTACATCCCCTGCCACTTATWATTTTTYATTTTGAGACAAGGTCTCTGCTAAATTGCCTAGAGCCTCACTAAATTGCTGAGCCTGGCCTTGAACTTGTGATCCTCTTGCCTCAGCCTCCTGAGCTACTGGGATTACAGGCATGTACCACCAAGCCCGGCTAATCTCACTTATTTTAAATGTATTCTGGTTTCTTAAAAGTTATTATTATACTAACAACAACAAAAAATGTTCTTTTTAATTTGCACACATTTTTTAGAATTTCACAGCAACGTGGTTTTTTTTTGTTTTTTGTTTTTTGTTTTTTGTTTTCAGAGCTGGGGTGGAGCCCAGGGACTCCTGCATGCTAGGCAGGCTGTCTGCCACTGAGCTACCCCCACCCCACCCCGCTCCTTCACAGCAACTTTTGTGCTGTCCTGTAAGGTCAGCGTCAGGGTGTCAGGGAACTTTAGAACACAGTRTGTCTTGGAGTTGGGACCTGTGAACACCATTCACATCCTATGAATACCATCCGGGGCACCCAGATAGGACACATGAAGGATGCTGTCTTTGTCCCCCAGTGCCGGGCTGACTTTTGGGGGGCTTTTCTGGGCTCACCTGACTGATTGCTTTGTGGGCAGGAAGAAGATGAGTTCATTGTGGAGGGGCTGCTGAATATCTCCTGGGGGCTACGCCGGCCCATCCGCCTGCAGATGCAGGACGACAATGAACGCATCCGCCCCCCTCCGTCCTCTTCCTCCTGGCACTCGGGCTGCAACTTGGGGGCACAAGGGTGAGTGAGGCGCGATGGGGCTGGGAGGTGACTGGAGTGGCTGGGTGGTGTGTGCCTAGTCAGCCATGCTCCAGTCCTGTTCCCACTACCTCCACTGCCACCAGCGTTGGGCTTGTGTTGAGGAGAACAGGGTGGGGTCSGTGTGACGGGGGCCTCCGTTCTCTCTCCACAATCACTGAGTGAGGTCAGGGTGAGGAGGGGAGGTGCTGAGTCACAGAGGGGACATGCCAGCGTGTCCTTCCTGCGGGAGAATTCTGGAGTCTCAGGGTGTGTTGCTCGTGGCCCGCACATCCAGCAGATTTCTAACAGGATGCCAATGTGTTGGCGTCCTCAAGGAATGGTCCCCACTCCAGGGACATTAAGGACTTGAACTTTCAGACTGAAGCTCTCTGAGTCTTGCAGGGAACCTGGAAAAAGAAAAGGAATGTCAACCCCTGTGTGAAYCAGCCAAGGGAGGTCAGCTGGGGAGTCTGCTGCATACCTGGAAGGGTCATGGTCCCCTTCTCCTGGTCCCCAAGGGAAGGGGTATGCAGATCTTGCCTGTTCCTCCCCAAACTCTGCTCCGCATGTGGCCGAATGAGTAACCTAATGCATCTGCGAAGCCGCGCCCTTTTTACTGTCTTTCTGGGACTTTGGTTTTCAGGATCAAGTGACTAGCCTCCTTCCCTCCTGAAACTTGCTGATGCTGGCGGTCGGTCTGCAGGCTACAGCCTGGGTGGAGTTTTGCCGGCCTGGAGCCAAAACCACTGTGATGTTTTTTTTTTTCTAGTTTAAATGAGAGCCAAGCCCTCTCTGTTGGCCACATGGAACTTTTTGTTGAACTCCACGGCCAAAATCCATCTTTACAATTCAGAGATACCTACCATGTGGCCCCACTCTGGAGGTGATCTGGTTTCTTTCCAAGAGAATCTAAGGAGGAAAAGTTCTTACCCGTCCCATTGGGATGTCTGGTCAGGGTTCTTTGGTTTCATTTAACTTTGCTGGTTTCACACGGCTTTGCCTTCAGGGCTTACTCTGTATTTTATTTCCAAGGAGCCAAACCCTGTCCACTGCCCGATACTGACCCCCACGCTGTTACATTCCGTTCCCTACATGAGGTGATGACAAAAATTCCATTTGTCCGTGGGGCCTTTGACTGGAGCTGCTGTTGAGGGGTCCTTCAATCTGCATATTGGTTTCTTCTCCCTTCCCTGGGGCATCAGGCTGGTTTTGGTTGGCCCTCGAAACGTACAAACACATGGAGAGTAACCAGTTGGGTGGCCAGCTATAGTGAAGTGAATACCTGGACTACTGGGTTAAGGAGGATGCTGAGGCCAGTTTCTGCTTCAGAGGGCTTTGGATCAGGAAGTAAGGAGTAGCTGGCTACTCCAGATGCTAAGTGTTCATTATTCCCTGAGAGGCTCTGGCTGTATGGATCCATTCTGGGGCTCAGAAGACTGTATTATTATAGAAAATTCTTTCAGATTTTTAATATTAATTGTATTCCCTTAGAACTATCATCCTTGGAACATAAGGCCTGTCTCTACTGGGTCAGGAAACACACAGTCTTTTCACCCTGGGATGGCCTTAATTGGTTAAATATGATTCTCCTTCCTGGCCAAATCCTCTGTTGATTTTGGGTGTGTTTCTCTGAACTGCTTCCATTGTCCTTTTTGGCTTTGAGGAATTAATGGCCAGTCATCACGGCAAACCCCGGGTCTCAGCCCAGACTGCCTGCTGCGACTCTCTCTCTCTCTAGCTTGACTGTGGACTCAACCCAAAGAATGCTGTCATTGTGCCCCTACCAAAGCTGCCCTGACCCGTGTAGCAGCCAACCTGTTACSTTCTACTCCTTTGAGAAGCCAGAAGCGGTTTCTGAGTGTTTCCTCCAACAGAAGGGAAGGTGGGGCTGGGAATGTGGCTCAGTGGTGGAGAGCTTGCCTGCCATGAGTGAGCCCCTGGGTTGGATCCCCAGCACTGGAAAACAAAACAAAACAACAAACCAGAAGCGAATCTGAACTGGAATCCTGCCCCAAAAACAAATGGCCATTATTAGGGTTTCAAAAAATCAGTCATGGAACCCACATGTGCTTAGGAACTCGGCGCAGGCCACACATGGGTTTTGTTCTTTGGAGTTTTCCTTCCTGGGCTGGATGAATTAGGTGTTTGTGTTGCTGCAGATGTTGGAAGAGAGCATCTTCTTGTTCCTAAACTTCCCCCTCCCCACTCAGTGCTCAGCCTGCAGGCTGGGCCAGCCTCCTGGGATGCTCAGGGCAGCCCACCTGCCTCCTTCATCAGCTGGTGTGAGCTGGTACCCAGCCCGGCACAAGCAAAGCATTCACTGGGGTGGGTGGGATGGGGGGATCTCTGGACCCGGGTTAACCCAGTCTCCCTTTTGTTTGTTTTCTGCCCCCAGCACCATTATGAAGCCCCTCACCATGCCTAACATTCAGATCTCAGAGGTGGACGCTTCTCCTGAGAGTGAACAGACGCCAAGCCCCACAGGTACACTTGCCAGGGGAGGAACATCTGGTTAGGGGCTAACTGGGTGATAGTTGTTATGAATTGTGATTTATTTGTAGATATATGAAATTTTTATAGTTCAAGATTCAAGAAGTGTTAAAAGGAAAAAAAAAATGAATCTCCCACCTCCATCACTGAGCATCCTCCCTAAAAACAACCTGAGTACATCCTTCCCCAGGTAGTTTATGCATATACAAGCAAAAACACACTGACAGATCTTTGGGATGACTTTTATTTTTTGGTGGGGAGGGGGTACTGGGGATTGAGCTCAAGGGCACTCGACCACTGAGCCACATCCCCAGCCCTATTTTGTATTTTACTTAGAGACAGGGTCTCACTGAATTGTTTAGTGTCTCACTTTTGCTGAGGCTGGTTTTGAACTCTGGATCCTCTTGCCTTGGCCTCCTGAGACACTAGGATTACAGGTGGGCACCACCATGCCTGGCTGTATGTCATTTCTTATCTTCTCCTTTTTATATAAGTGGTAGCATTTTGCACATTGCTGGTTTTATCTCTATATATATTTTTTCATTTTAACTTAGGATTGTTCCACATAGATCCATAAAGAACGTCTCTGTTCTTCACAGCTCTGCAGGATTCCATGGAAAAATGATAATTTATTTAGTCACTCCTATTAATGAGACATTTAAGTCATTGTCAGTCTTTGCTATGAAAAACCAGATTGCTGACAGTGACCTTATACATGGGCCATTTTACTCATCTGTAAGCATGTCTATAGAATTCCTTGAAGTGGAATTACTGGGTCTAAGACAATATGTATTTGCAGTTTTGACAGATGTTGTCAGTTTGCAAATCATAAAACATGAATTAAATTATTTTAATAAAAAGAGTTTAATCTACAATTCTATTACTGTCAATTTTTAATATTTATAGACATACATTGGTAGAAATATGTCAGGGGACCCCCATATATTTGTGTCTTATTAACATTTTTTATTGTGATAAAATACATATGATCTTTTTATTCTTAACATTTTGAAGTGTACTGTCCAGTGGTGTTAAATACATTTATAATTATTCAGCCATCACTACTAAGTATTTCCAGGACTCTTCTTCCCTTAAAACCATCATCCTTGTGTGGGGAAAAAGGTACACTCATACATTGCTGGTAGGACTGCAAATTGGTGCAAGCATTCTGGAAAGTAGTATGGAAATTCCCCAGAAAACTTGGAATGAAACCACCATTTGACCTAGTTATCCAATTCCTCGGCATATATCCAGAAGACTAAAAATCTGCACACTATAGTGACATAGCCACATCAATGTTTATAGCAGCTCAGTTCATAAGAGCTAAGCTATAGAACCAAACTAGGTACCCTTCAACAGATGAATGGATAAAGAAAATGTGGTATATACACACAAAGGAATATAACTCAGGCATAAAGAAGAATGAAATTATGGCATTTGCTAGTAAATGGATGAAACTGGAGACTATCATGCTGAGTGAAATAAGTCAATCCCAAAAAACCAAAGGCTGAAAGTTCTCTTGATATGTGGATGCTGACTCACCATAGGTGGTATGTGTGAGTCAGCAGGGCAGGGGAGTAGAATTTCACCCAGTTGAAGGGGGGGGGAGTCGGGGGAAGGAAAGGGGATGGGAATGGGAATAGACAGTTAAATGAATTGAATATAACTTTCCTATGTTCATGTATGAATACACGACCAGTATAACACCACATCACGTACAACCACAAGAATGGGAAGTTATACTCCTTGGATGTATGATATGTCAAAATACACTCAACTTTCATGTATAACCAAAAAGAACAAATAGAAAATTAAAAAAAAATCATCCTTAGATCAATAAGATCTGTCTCTAAAACCCAGAACTCTTTTTTTTTTTTTTTTTAAATAAAACTGAAACTCTTGGGAGTATAGCTCAGTGGTAGAGCTCTTACCTAGCATGCATGAGGCCCTGGGTTTGATCCCCTGCACCACAAAAAAATAAAATTAAAACCCCTGAAATTCTGTACTCATTAAATAATAGCTCTCCATTTCCCTGCCTACCCCAGCCACTGGGAACCACCATTCCATATTGTGCCCCTATGGTTTTTGACTGTTCTGGGTACCTCCTAGGAGGGCAATCATGCATCACTTGTCTTTTTGCAACTGGCTGTTTTCACTCAGCATAACGCCTTCAAGGGTCATCCGTGTTGTAACACGTGACAGCATTGGTTTGCAATATCTTGCAGGCCCTCACATGCTTGTTCTGTGCCAGGCACTGTTCTAAGTGCTGTCTATTCATTCATTTAGACCTAATCTCCTAAGATGGGTGCTATTATTAGTCCCATGGTAGAGACGAGAAAACAGAGGCACAGAAAGACTAGTGACAGATGTCAGTGGAGGAGCTGGGATTTGAACCTGGGGAGTCTGGTTCTGAGGTCTCTACTCTGTACCTTGTCACTCTAGTACTTCTTGGTAAATCATGTATTATACTTTTCTTCCAGTGGGAAATAGTTTTTATAAAATTTACAAAAATATATTGAAGTATATAAATTTTGTAAAATATATTTTGGGGGAGGGAAGGAGTGCTGTAGTGTTGGCTAGAAAGGGACCATGTACAAGTTGCTGCATCCCAGGTCCAGCAAACAGAGGCCCACCTTCCTCTCCCTCCCTCCCTCCCTCCCTTCCTTCCTTCCTTCCTTCCTTCCTTCCTTCCTTCCTTCCTTCCTTCCTTCC